TTGAAAATAGAGAAAACTATTATAATCACCTGTGAGATACTTTGACAATTAAAAATATACAATGTGAAAACATTTCATGTTAGTATATTGCACAACGTTGCTATTTGCCATTTTTGCCATGTGTTAAATAGCTTCGTTGTTTCTGGGGGAAAAAACAACTTGCCCATGCACAACCACTAGAAGAAGCTTTTAATACATTGTCTTTTGATAGCTTTGACCAATAAAAACCACATTCGGGTGTTGAAATTAATGTGAACAGTAGAAACTGTAGTCATAGTCCGGTTGCAGCGTTTCTGGAATTGTGCCAAAAATGACACTTTCTCATTTTGGGTACTATTGTTTCACCTTGCCTACAGGCTTATGGCACCACTTGACAGCTCCACATCATACCTCATCCAAATGTACATAAAATAAGCTTTCAAGTAATTTATGATGTGGGTGTGGGTACTTTAAACTCTCCAAAATAGCCCTTTTTGGGGAATTGCTGCACGCCTATGTACTTTGCCTGTCCCATGAACCCCATCGTTCCTGGCTGTGTCCATCTCAATAAGAGCTTGGTGCTGAGGGTCCTGCATGGTTACCTCTGGAGAATCACATGCTAACGTGATCTCAACCTCCCTGGCCACACAATAGCGGATGTAAAGGTAGCCATCTTACAGCAAAAAAACTTCAGGACCAGACTCCAAAGAGAAACTGCTGAGCTCCAGTTCATTTGCAAATGCGACACCATCAGATCAGGATTAAACAAAGACTGAATGGCTATCCAACTACAGAAGCAGTTTCTCCTCCCTTGGTGTTCACACCTCAACTGCTAGCAGAGCACCTCACCCTCCCTCGTTATCTCCACACTGATTTATACCTGCCTTTGGAGATTTCCATTACTTGCATCTGAAGAAGTGAGGTTCTTACCCACGAAAGCTTATGCTCCCAATACTTCTGTTAGTCTTAAAGGTGCCACAGGACCCTCTGTTGCTTTTTACAGATTCAGACTAACACGGCTACCCCTCTGATACTTGACACATGCTAATGTGGGTCTGTGGCTGACATTATTGGCACCAAAGTCCCCATATCCCACTGGATCAACACAAATCTTGTGCCAGAGGTTCAGCATCATCAACTGCAAAAGCCAAAGTGGTTCTGTGTCTAACATGAACAGCATTGCAGGCCCAGATCTCTTCTGGGCTGACTGAGGCCAGTGCCAAGGATCAAGCATATTTGCTTCTGAAGCACAGCTTGCCAGAGTGGACGATGTGCCCAGGCCCATCAAGGCAGGGTTCCAGCTTGAGTGACTCTCTGAGCTCCACACAAGTGGTACTGAAGTCCCTGGATCCGCTCAACAGAGTCCAGTACGTAGGGTTAAGCTCCGTAAAGAGCTGCTGCCCAATGAGGCTGTATAGCTGGATGGAAATTGAGCTCTGTGCTGTGGTTTGGGGGACTGTGTGTATGCTGAGCCTAGCGGCCTGCTAGGCAAGGCTGAGAGCTTCTTAACGAGGCTGTGATCCCTAACCCTTTTAGCACCCATCAACCCTTAACCAGGGGTGGGGCTACTCAGGGAGACCAGGACTTTAAAAAGCCCGCTCCTAAGTGACTGGAGGAGCTAGCAAACAGGAGCGACTAATAGGAGTTTTGCCAGGGAGTTTACAGGGGGAGTGTGAGCAGGGGCTAGACCTCAACTTTCTTTAAACTTAAAAGCCAAAACCACTCCCTTGATAAAAACAAAACCTCAACAAAGGAACCAGCTGCAGGAGTAAAAAGAGAATGCCGGCGGAAGTCCAGCAACAGAGTGGGTTTGCGATGACCGGGAGAACCGCACGGTGACTTACCTGCCTGGTGCGGAGGTTGCGGATCTGTCGAGACATCTAGATAGGCTTATGTGTAGTGCTGGGGAGGAGCCGGTGGTCGTGGTACAGGTAGGTACCAATGACATAGGGAAGGATAGGAGAGAGGTCCTGGAGGCCAAATTTAGGCTGCTAGATCAGAGATTGAAGTCCAGGACCTCCATGGGGGCATTTCCTGAGATGCTCCCATTTCCACTCGCAGGGCCAGTTAGACAGGCAGAACTGCAGGGTCTCAATGCGTGGATGAGACGATGTAGGGAGGAGGGGTTTAGATTTATTAGGAACTGGGGAGCCTATACAGGAAGGATGGGCTCCACCTAAATCAAAATGGAACCAGATTGCTGGCACTTAACATTAAAAAGGTTGTAGAACAATTTTTAAATTAAGAGCTGGGGGAACGCCGATAGGTGCGGAGGAGCACGTGGTTTGGACATCTCTTAGGGGAGGATCTATTAATAGAGAATCTCTATGTCCTAGTGACAATGAGAGGATGGGAAATGATAAAATACAGGCAGGGTCTGATCAGAAACAGTCCAATAAAAAAGAATAATGGCATACTGTGCAATCTGCCCACTGATCAGGAACTGGCTTCAGGTCAGGGTTAGGTGTGGCTGGCTTTGAGAAAGTCCCTGTTTCTATTGTAAACGGAACTCTTAATAATAAAGAACCGTGGAGTCAGTGGAGCGTCTGTGGAGCACTGCCTTGTCCTTTGGGGGATGTGTCTGCCTCGAGGTGAGACGGGAGCTGTACGAGGGATTCAGAAGTGTGCTATTAGACAGGGTGGAGGTGAGATGCCGGGCTGGTTGAAGGCAATGGGATACAGACCTTCTCACCCGTAGGGCCTGATTCAGATCTGACCCCCAGATTTGAAAGCCACTGCTGTCCTCTGTCTGACCTGCGTGACGTGAGACTGGGGGGAGGGGTCTCACTCCACTTCCATTTCCCGTATCCCATCAGCAAATGTCAGTACTAAGGGGCAGCCTTAGTTGTGGGGATTTAGATGGGCCCTTGCATTGGTCTTCACGGCTGAGGATGTGAGGGAGATTCCCAAACCTGAGCCATCCTTTTTAGGTGACAAATGTGAGGAACTGTTCCAGATCGAGGTGTCATTATAGGAGGTTTTGGGACAAATTGATAAATTAAACAGCAATAAGTCTCCATGACCAGATGGTATTCACCCAAGAGCTCTGAAGGAACTCAAATGTGAAATTGCAGGACTACTAACTGTCATCTGTAACCTATCATTTAAATCAGCTTCTATGCCAAATGACTAGAGGATAGCTAATGTGCCGCCAATTTTTTAAAAGAGCTCCAGAGGTGACCCTGGCAACTACAGGCCAGTAAGCCTAACTTCAGTACTGGGCAAACTGGTTGAAACTATCGTAAAGAACAGAATTGTCAGACACATAGATGAACGTAATTTGTTGGGAAATAGTCAACGTGGTTTTGTAAAGGGAAATTATGCCTCACCAATCTACTAGAATTCTTTGAGGGGGTCAACAAGCATGTGGACAAGGGGGATCCAGTGGACATAGTGTACTTAGATTTTCAGAAAGTCTTTGACAAGGTCCTTCACCAAAGGCTCTTAAGCAAAATAAGCAGTCATGGGATAAGAGGGAAGGTTCTCTCATGAATTGGTAACTGGTTAAAAGATAAGAAACAAAGGGTAGGAATAAATGATCAGTTTTCAGAATGGAGAGAGGTAAAGAGTGGTGTCCCCCAGGGATCTGTACTGGGCCCAGTCCTATTTAACATATTCATAAACGATCTGGATAAAGGGGTAAACAGTAAGGTGGCAAAATTTGCAGATGATACAAAACTACGCAAGATAGTTAAGTCCCAGGCAGACTGTGAAGAGCTACAAAAAGATCTCACAAAACTGGGTGATGGGGCAACAGAATGGCAGATAAAATTCAATGTGGATAAATGCAGAGTACATTGGAAAACATAATTCTAACTATACATATACAATAATGGGGTCTAAATTAGCTGTTACCACTCAAGAAAGAGATCTTGGCGTCATTGTGGATAGTTCTCTGAAATCATCCACTCAATGTGCAGCGGCACTCAAAAAAGCTAACAATGTTGGGAATCATTAAGAAAGGGATACATAAGACAAAAAATATCATATTGCCTCTATATAAATCCATGATACGCCCACATCTTGATACTGTGTGCAGATGTGGTCGCCCCATCTCAAAAAAGATATATTGGAATTGGAAAAGGTTCAGAAAAGGGCAACAAAAATTATTAGGGGTATAGAACGGCTTCCATATGAGGAGCGATTAATAAGACTGGGACTTTTCATCTTGGAAAAGAGGCAACTAGGGAGGGATATGACAGAGGTCTATAAAATCACGAGTGGTATAGTAAATAAGGAAGTGTTATTTATTCCTTCTCATAACACAAGAACAAGGGGCCACTAAATGAAATTAATAGGTAGCAGGTTTAAAACAAACACAAGAAAGTATTTTTTCACACAACTCACTGTCAACCTCTGGAAATCCTTGCCAGAGGGTGTTGTGAAGGCCAATACTATAACGGGGTTCAAAAGGGATAGATTCATGGAAGATAGGTCCATCAATGGCTATTAGCCAGGATGGGCAGGAATGGTGTCCCTAGCCTCTGTTCGCCAGAAGCTGGGAATGGGCGACAGGGGATGGATCACTTGATGATAACCTGTCTGTTCATTCACTTTGGGGCACCTGCCATTGGCCACTGTCAAGAGGATGGGATACTGGGCTTGATGGACCTTTGGTCTGACCCAGTCTGGCCGCTCTTATGTTCTTGAGACCGGGCTGCCCTAGTGGTGGTGTCTCAGAGGGGGTTGAGATGTGTGCGCAGACACAGGTGAGTAGCGGGGGAAGAGGCTTGTGCTGGGCTGTGGGTGAAAAGAGGGCTTCAGCCTTCAGGGCTGTAAAGCTGCAGGACGTTTACTCAAGCCCCTGAGTAAGGGTGACGCAGTTGCTGCCTGTCCACTCTTAGGAAGCTGCTGTGTTTAATTGGTGTAATTCCGAACGTTCTGTGAGGTCTCTGCTCTGTTCTGGAGGCAGCCTTGGCCATTCAGGGATTCGGTTGCTTGGAAAATGACCCATCAGCTGCCGGGAAAAGATCTCCTGACCCCCGAGTCATCCCAGCCACTTTTGTGCCTTTCTCTTCCAGCTGGGAACAACGAGAGCTACCGAACGGGAGGGTCTATTACGTGGACCATAACACCAAGACCACCACCTGGGAGAGACCTCTGCCTCCAGGGTAAGACACTTTTGAGATACTTGGAGTTTCCGAGGGCAGAAGGGAGCCCCCGGATAATAGCTGCCTGAATGGATTGGGCACACAGCAGGCTGCATGCAAAGGAGAAAACGGGAGAGAGAGAAGGTGGGAGAGACGCATCTCCATTTCCAGGCAGGTTGCTGCCTCCTGGGGATGTGGCACATGTTCTCATGCCAGTCCATACTTACTGGCCTCAGTCCCTTTCTATCTGTAGCCCTTCTGAGCCCTTGTTTTCCAGAGCGCTCTCTGGCTCTCTCCATCTCTCTGTGCCCTGTAAAAGCTGAAAATGATCAAGCCAAATCATTGTTCTTCCCTTGGCTGCATTTAGACCGGAGTGATCCTAATCAGTGAACGTACTTTAAAAGCCAGCGTGCAGGGTGAATGTGAAATAAGGCCTTTCCCACGTCGCTTCCATACCCCTCATCTCTCCTACTTACATACACCACCTCCTGCTAAAACCGGACCTCTGCAGCCCCCCCTGCTGCCCTGTGGTCTTGTCTGAGCTCCTAGACTACTCTGAGTTTAGACAGGCCCTTACATGGGTGGGAACCCTCCCAGAAAAACCCTGGTGGTGGTTGTGATGCGGTAGGGGGCTTCCCATGACCCAGTTCCCCAGCATGGCGCTGGCTGGTGTTGTGGACCTGGGTGGGGAGAGGGAGGGAGAAACCTACGGAATCACCAGTGTCACTTCCTTTAGCACCTGGGCTCTCCTTGGACAGCTCCTGTCCTCCAACTACTCAGCAGCACTACCCGGCTTAACGGGACATCTGCAAAGAGGCACCATGGCTCCCGTCAGTCTCGTGTCCCGTGGTGCTGAAGTCGTCCTATCCAAAGGAATCCGTTCCCCGTGGAGTGAAGGTTCCAGTCTGATTGAGACTAGAGCTGCCATGTAAAGCCAGCAGCACTGGTCCCTCAGA